TCCATGCCTTATTGCCTTCTATTACAGTACCACGAAATTTGCCACCATGTTATTTCAAATGTGGTTGCCCTGTTCTTAAATGGTAAATGGCCTGTATTTGTATAGCACTTTACTTAGTCTCTAAGGACCCAAAGCACTTTCCACTACATACAGTCATTCACCCATTGGTGATGGGAAGCTACACTGTAGCCACAGCTGCCCTGGGGCGCACTGACAGAGGCGAGGCTGCTGGACATTGGCGCCACCGGGTCCTCTGACCACCACCAGTAGGCAACGGGTGTAGTGTCTCGCCCAAGGACACAATGACCGAGACTGTCCAAGCCGGGGCCCGAACCGGCAACATTCCAATTACAAGACAAACTACCAACTCTTGAGCTACGATCGCCCCTTAAGACCTTTATGTAAATAATAAAGATTTTAATTTACAACCTTAGTTTACAAAACTTTATTGCTAACATTGGAAAAAGTTGGACAGGCCAATGCTTCCCACTGTGTAGCATCCACTATACTTTTAATAACAGTCTGTAAATGTCTGGGAACTGCAGAGATCCCTTGCTGGACATTTGGGAAAGAAAACTGTCCTATTCTCATCAGATGTAAGATTCTAGCTGCTCAGCTGGTTCGTCTTTGCCATGTGTTTTCTTACATGATGTGGCAGATGTTTACAGCTGGAAATTGGTGGTCTGGACTGCAGGCAGGCCAGTTCAACCCCCGAACTTTTCTACTATGGAGTCATGCTGTTTATGCAGAATGTGGTTTAACATTGTCTTGCTGAAAAATGCAAAGCCTTCCCTCAAAAAGACGCCTGGATGGGAGATTATGGTGGTCTAAAACCTGTATATACAGTCCCAAACGTGCAACAGGAAGAGATAGGAGTGAGAGAAAACTTTTTTTTGAGCAAACAATTTATTGAGAACAACACTTAAAGTAAAACAGGCTGTTTTACAGCTGATTAGAAATTTAGAAATACATGCCTTTAAAAGGGCAAATCTGTGAAAAAATGTGGAATCATTGTCATTTTCTGTCCGGTAGTCACACTGTCAAAGGAAAAAAATGGTTCCTCTTTGAACGTGGTCGTGTTGTTGAACTGCATAAGGAGGGTCTCTTGCAGCAAGCCATTGCTGTTGAGGTGGGACGCAGTAAGACAGTCATTTGGAATTTCTTAAATGATTCTGAGGGTTATGGAATAAAAGTCAAGTGGAAGACCCAAAAAAATTTCACCAGCACCGAGCCAGAGGATCCAATTATCTGTCCGTTAAGACACTGAACAATCCTCTACCCAAATTAGGGTGTCGATTTCAGCCCCATAACAATCAGACACCATCTTAGACTGAAGAGCTTCAAAACAAACATGTCTTCAAAGACCTCATCTCCTTGAACGCCACAGAACTAACCATTTGGACTTTGCAAGAGAGCACCAAACATGGGACATTGAAAGGTGGAAGAAAGTTTTATTCCCTGATAAGAAAAAAATGAACCTTGATGGTGCTGATGGTTTCCAACGTTACTGACACGACAGGCAGATCCCACCTGTTTTTTCATGAAATAGTAAATTATGTTAGTTTAAACATCTGGTGTGTTTTCCATGTTTTAGCGTGAAGATGTGGGTTCATGAGATTTTTGTAAATCATGGCAATCTATTTTTATTTACATGTTACACAGCATCCTAACTTTTTTTGGGATTGGGGCTGTGCTTGCTTGTCACAGTACAAAAGAGAGCACTAGCAGATCCCTCTCATCACCCACTACAGTGTCAATTCAGGGGATGAGCAATGGAACAAGCATTATGCCCACTTCCACTTCCAGGTTGGGGTGCGGGTGGGGGGGTGATAAAAACTTTTTGATTAAGGGAGAGGAATTTTCTATTTCATTCTGATTCAGAAAGCAGGAGAAAGAGGGGAGGATTAATCTTAAGGCCGCCGTTTTACTGCCTATCCCCACTCCTGTCTCAGAGCTGAAGAAGCGCAAGTGAATAATGGGGTGTCCATCAGCCGTGGGCTCAAGCCCAGATTGGGATTTTCTCTGGAGATAATACAAAGCAGGGCGACAATTGATGATTCATAATGTGCAGTTTTAGCCTTGTGTTACCACTGGCTATTGTGGTGGGGTTGGCATTAGTGTTAGTGTATCTGCCATAGAGGTGTTTCGCTCTGACAGCAATCTTTGGAAGCGTTCTTCTGCTGAGGATTGTAGAATCATGAGTTTATAAATATGGATATGTAGAGAATCATGTATTCTGTAATTCAGATGATAAATTGCTCCTTTTGAAAAAGCATTCAGTCATACATGCACTGTGTAATATTTACGAATCCTCTGAAAGAAAGGGAGGATCTAACTGGCAGAAACCAGAAACGAATAATGGCATCTTGTTATGTTCACTTGCTTCATTTTGTACACAGGGGCTTTTACACTGAACCAAGAATAATCCCACTAACAAAGTTGTCTGGCTCTCCAGTCATGTGAGCAGCACCTGTCGTGGCAGGGAGTGGAGGCTGAGGCGGGGCTGGGGATCCATGGAAGGGACGCTATCCATCAGTGGTTCCATTTGATATTTAATTTAGACTTTTATGAGCCTTAGAGGATGGGCCATGTCATTTTCCTCTCGCAAGCTCTCTCTATAGGGATGGAGGATAAATTCCTTCCATCCGTGCAGCAGCCTTACCAAGGCTCCTGCAGATTTATAACTGTATTGTGTGCTGGTGATGCTAGTGGCGGTCAGTGAGTGGCCTACAAACAGGCCACTCGATAGCTCACAGGTGTCTGTCCAGGTCGTATCTCTGAGAAAAGCTTCTGCAATTTGGATCGAAGTTGCACTTCATGGAAGGTTCTAATAGTTCCCATAGAAGTTGACCTTGGACATTATTGTAAGGCATTATATTTGCAAGGAGAAACTACTGTGATGGTAATTTTGGAAAGAACAATATTCCCATTTTAAAGCAGCACAAAATCAAATAATTTTGCATCAGTCAGCTGAGTTAGTGATACTATACATACATGTTTTTCTCCATGAGTGATGGATGAAGTAAAATAGCCGCTATTCTGAGAAGGTAATTTTAAGGAACAGCAATGGGTTTTATAAACTATTTCTCTCCTAATGGTCTGTTTTAATGTAATTTATAGCTTCATTCATTACCTCTTTTGTATTAGTAATTATTTCTAAAATACCAAAGAGCCATCTTTTCTTTCCTGGTTCTTCTCCGGCTTTGATTTATCGCCACGGCTCTGGCCTGATGCTGTCTTCCCAAGGTGTGACATTTCAAAATATTTATAGCTCTGGCACATTAAAGGCCTTCCTTTGAAGGTGACCGACCACTCTTCCACACCAGCGTAATTAATAGAATCTCAGCTTGTTCGCCTTGTGTTATTTATCTGCTGTTCTGCTATTCTGTTGAAATTCTATGGAAAACAGCAAGGTGTTGGCTCAGCTACTTCATCTCATAAACAGACTTTTTATACACGCCATTCTGCAGGATGCATTGCACCGAGGGCGACAGGGAGACCATTCCACTTCAAAGCCCCAAAAGTTTAATATTTTATTGATTAGATCTAAACCTTCTGTCCAAAGTGGCAATTAAAATTCAATTAAACTGACTGAAAGCATCATATTAAATTTCATCCCTTTATGAGCTCCAAGATAATGCTGGAGGACAGGAGTTGAATATAATCACAGCCTTTTTAGATTATATTATCCGGTTCATTCACTATAAAAGTGACACTTTTAGGTATACTTTCAATATTTCTTAACTATAACCTTCTAATGAACACATTTTATAGCCATTAAATCAACTGTTATTGGGCATTGCAATAAAGAGAGATGGCTGCTTTTTTGTTCTGCTCTCCACATTAGAAAAGAATGAAGCGTTCCCAGTCTTCATACAGGTAAATGAAAAGTCTACCTGTTATGCAGAAACAGACTGATTTATCTAATTTATTAAAAACTTCCATAATTGTTAGTAACAGTGCATAAAACTAGTGACAAACTGTTCTAGCTAATCAGTGCTATTTTATTTTTATTTGCACAAATATTTTAAATGTTATGCTTTGTTTTAAAACTATAGTCAGGGTATTAATCCAGTACTATTTTTTTACTGGGCTCCACTCTCCAGCCCTGCAGTGAATTAAAGTTGCAAAGGAGAAAATAAGGAAGTAAACAGATGACAGCTAAGCTAACGCTTTTCTGCAGTAAATACCCGCTGTATGTGGACTTTGATCAAATAAATTGGGATATAACCCAAACAACCAAGTGATGTGTAACCGCATTCTGCAGTGAAATGTGGTCACTAGCATGAAAAAACAAAGGCTACTTTTGCTAGCACCACTACGGTTAGCTAAACACTGCAAACAAATCTGATAATGTGTGTGCCTGCAGAGGCGTTCATGGCACAATTAATGAAGAACGCAATTAATGGGTTCATATAGATACAAAAAATACACATATACAAAATATTTGTATATTTAATATACGACCTTTAACTTCATTCATTTAGAGTGTAATCTTAAATGCTTCCTGTAGATTTTACATTAAGCTTCAGCTATGGTTTTCAAATCCTGGCTACTGCTACTCCTACTATTGTTGTGACACTAGTTGAGTTGTACAGCTCCAGTGGAAAAGTCAGAGGATCCCTAAAATAATCTTTAGGTGTCATCCATAAGGAACCATCAGTGTCTGGGTAAATTTAAATTGCAATCTGTACAATAGTTGCATGTTTTACTGGAAAAATTACAAAATGATTGTCACACCAATTGAAAATGTACTAAAGTGAGTAGGATTATTCATCTTTGGATGATAAATTTGCTTGGGAGCAGCTGCCGAAAAATTATGTCAGGACCAGAGTGGTGAACTGAGGGATTGAGTACTACCAGAGTGGCCAAAAATATGACCAATATGTCTCAATTATTAAAAGAAAAAAAGGCACTTCTCTTAAACTTGTATATCAAATATTGTGTCATGGCTCGTGTTGTACCATCACTACATCCTTTCATCCTTTTTTTTCCTGTAGGCTCCTCCAAGGTGTCAGGTCAGCGGTAAGCCACAGCAAAGCCATTGATCCCACAGCATCCACCACAGTAAGCAGGCTATTTAGATGTACACAGAGAGCAGTGTCAGAGACTGAGAGAGGTTGTTATTACTGAGTGCCTCTCTGTTTCTCCCTAGACTGTTTGCTCTGTGTGATTATTCTCTCCAGCTCCCCGAGCATCCCAGCTTCTGCCTCTGTGATAAAGATATTCATTTACCTGATATGAAAATCTTGTTCATGGTGATCCCAAATGACTCTAGATAGAAGAGGAAGAACGCGGGGAGGTGAGACGCAGTGAAGGTGGGTAGGGTAGGTGATAGAATGGGAGTGCATGAGGGAAAGGAGAAAGAATGACATGAAATATTAATACACCGTGAGACATCGTGACGCCTTGAATTTGTGTGATTGCAAAATAATACTTTTGTATAAAAAGTGGGAACTGATTTCTTTTTCTTTTTTTAATGATTTGTGAAGAAGGCATCACATAGTCATACAAATCAGTTAAAGTGAAAAACATAAATATCTGCTAGTGATTCTGGGAAATTAATGAATGGATGCTGTGTGTTACTGTGCGTGCACAAGCTTATATTATAGGTGGAAATGCGTGCGGCTGTTTCTGTTTTGGCTGGCCAGGAGTGTCTCAGTACACATCCTCCCCTTTGTGCTAATGATGAGACTCGTATCATTTTTACTACGTCTGAATGAGGAGGGTTTGCACGCGGTTCTAGCGTCTTTGCACTAGGTCTTCCTCCTGGATGAAGCAGGGAGAGATTGATATTATAGAGGAAGAGAATTAAACGTGTCTTCTCAAATGCATCCTTGTGGTTAAAAGGGTAAAATGAGATGAAGGGGTATGATAGTCACTTCTCCTCATCTTGTAGCCAGCCCCATCCTCTCTTCCTTTATTTTGTTTGAGTATATGGCTCACTCATCTCAGGTTTTATTGTCTCTATCTTGGGAGTGCTGCTTTCCCCTATAACACGGTCACCATGCGCAGCACATCAGGCAAGTTCTTGATTCTGTACTCAGTAATTTAAAGCCTTTATAGAATTGCAATTTCAGGGCTCAGTGCTTGTTTTTCTAAAATGTACTCAAGGAATTAGCTACTCCAGCCACAAATCAGTTGAATTTATGCCCAGTTGTAATACACTTTATGGGCTCATGGTACATTGCTTCAAAAACAGCAGATGTGAAATTATGATAAATATAATGAGGTTTTTTTTTTTTCCTTCTCACTCGCCTCTTGCCTGTCCCTCACCCTCCTTCCTCCAGTCTCTCTCTACTGTGAGAGAGAAGGATGTGAAGCGTGTTTACTCACCCCATACAATACATTTAATGTCTTAGTAAGGGCCGCCAACAAAACCTGATTAATGTCCTCATCTCTTTTATTAAAGATAAGAGTGGCACTGCAGTCAGGAGATAGAGAGAGTGCCATAAATCTTAGGCAAAATGAGCAGTCAAATAATCACTCATCAGAAATGAAATCTACATACATTAACACTCGCAGACATTCTGCTGTGAATATAAACACGGGGCTACGGGCGATGAAGCCGGCTCCATTTATCCACATATTCGCAGTTGGGGGGAGGTAAAGGTGTCTGAAGAGGGTAAGCTCTCAGCTGGTGATGATGTTTAAGGGGGTCTTGTCCTGCTAAGCTACAGTCCGCCAGACTACCCATGTGTCCAGAGGAGCAGACGCAGAATCATTAGGGCAATGGATGAGTTGGATAGCAGAGGCAATTAAACATCTCCCTGAATAGGACATAATGTTGATCCATCCCTACGATTAATCAAGGCATGCAATAGACAGTGATGGGCGACCCTGTGCCTTTGTGACAAAATGATTCTTCATTGCATGTTTGGGGATTGGGATCCTGAGGTCCCTAATGCGCCTTAGAGGTGCCCCAATGAAATCCTGTCATCTATTTTGCTTCTGTCCCTGACAGCTATCAACCTGTCTTCTGTCAGCCACGGAACATTATCTGAACTCCCAAGGCGGTTAGCGACAGGGACTAAGCTTATGAGTGGTGGTCGCAGGCAGGCAGATATGTTAAGTAATGATAATGCTACCTTGCTTTTGTCCTATCAGCGTCAACTCACGTGCATGTTTCCTATATGCACATGCAGACAAAGAAGGACTGCATATAGATGCATGCAAGCTTGTCTTTACTGCAGATATTTTTATGCACATATGCAGAAAGCATCATATATAAACACTCTGTTGTGCCTCCACCACAAATGTGCCTTTTCCGTCAGTCACATCACAGAGGCCTCCCGGTGACAGATGTCATACATTGTGATTAAAAACTTGTGGAAAATTAAAAACAAATGCACAATGCTCTATGACTGCTCTTTGTTTTGGTGTCAATCATATCTTAATAATCAAAATGAGCTGTTTTTTTTTCTTTCACTCATTCGCCACTACTTTGGCATCTGGCAGGGACAGGCTGACAAGGTGTCTTTGCAGCGGAAATTACAAGAAATGAATTTTCAATGCTTGATAAAAGTCACACACAATTAGTGGGAGTGTCAAACCACTTCATATAGAGTTGTGCAAAGTACTGAAGCTCCACTCATAATATTGACAGCGATGCGTAACAACGTCAGTGGTCTCACTGTGATAATGACTTGTTTGCAAGCTGATACTTTACATGCGCTCCATAGACACAATGCCATAGTTATTTTTTTATTAGTACCTCATGATCTAATCATGATCTCTTATGAGTTTGTTATGTTTAACTCTGTTGTTATTTAACTGCTCTCACCCTGTGAGTCTTAAAAAATATTTAACAATATAATGATATGATGCAATAATCTCCCTTCCTTGAATTTATCTTTACACATTTTTCAATGTGTAGGGTGTCCACTTGTTCTACTATGCAATTTTTCTCCTTTATAGTCCCCATTGCCTATGCAGTTATCTATTCACCTGTATTGCTGGATCATGAGATCATTACCTCCATCATTGAGCCCAGGCATCTGAAAGCCTGTTAACCTGGAACAGGCCTGGCTGTGCAACCCTGTGCTGATGGTACAATATGCTCCTTGTTATTCTAGGATCATTGACGCTAAATCCCTGGCAATCAAGTCAGTTTTGTTGAAGCTCATTGGCTCAGTGGGGTCTCATCTCATCTGCAAGCTTGGAATGAAGAAAGGAGTGTTCGGGTTAGTTGGGTCGTTAGGTAGAAATTCTACGATAATGGTGCATGTTACATTAGACCCTTACAAACCAAGGATAAGTGTTTCAGACTCTGTGTAATGTAATTTGGGGAATGGTTATGGTAGATAAGAAATTCTCTTGAAGTGTGAAGTGTGGAGATGAATAGTTCCTTATTAATCTAAACTCATCACATGCTATTGAGCCAATACAGTTAAAAAGTGAAAAGATTGAAATGTATCATGGACATTTTTATTGCAGATGATATATGGCTTACAGTAACTTTTTAAACTGCAGCTCCAACACAGCGAGCAGAAGGGTGTGCTTGTTGCTGCTATCATATTACTTGTTTAAAACAGTTGTCCAAATAAATGGCTAATTTCATGTAGCATTAATAAGACATTCAGAAACGGCCATTAGTTGTGAGCAATCTCTCAGCATTAACAGGAGCCGGATGAAATGTACACGCATGATGGAATGGAAACAGCTGAGCAGCTGAAGCAGGAGGGCTGAACTCCAGCCACTGGATTCCCCTCATGTGTAACAATGTGTCATGTGACACTTCTTAATTTGAGCTCAGTAAGACCACCATCGCATCACAAGTGATGGACCAAGGTTGTGTTCTATATAACACTATCACGAGGATTCAGTCCTACATTACTGTATGTGTAGCTATGCGGCTGTGCAGGTAAAAGCAGCGTGTCCATCCATGCATCCACCCCGGTCCCATGGACACTACGCTTAAGAAATTGGCACAAACCGAGCAGAACTTGGTGGAGCAAAGACAAAAACCAAGGTCAATGTAACCTTGCGCAACACTTTTTTGGCCAAAACGCAAGAATTCACACTAATAATGGCAAAACTGTATAGAAGAAGAAGTGATTACATTTCACTGTGAAATCATAATGTTCTGCAAATAAACCTTTCTGGCCACGTTTCAGTGCAGTCATTTAGGAACTGAGGGGGGAGTTTGTAACCTAAGTTTCACTCTATACTAGTTTAGGGATAGTAATTAATGTCCTGCTTGAAAGTTTCTGTATAGTTTACACTACATATGTATTAGTTTGGACAGATACTCTTTCACTCTTGAAAAGAAGTCATTTTTTACACTACAAGCCATATTCACCAGTTCATAGACATATCTGTGCAAGGCTTTTTTTCTACACACTTCTACCATCTATTCGTTGAAAAGTTGATAGTTTGATCTCCGCCTCAGTCGGTCTTCATGTCAAAGCTTAGACAATCCACTCTACCTCCTGAGCCACAGCTGCCCCGTGTAAAAAGCAACTGAAATGTTTTGCAGAGGCAAACAACAACAACAAGGCAGTAATTCTAGATTTATATCATGACATGGATAATATCTGTTTTTCAACTCGTGGATGTAATACGGGAAAAATCAAAGCGCTCTGTGAGAAAAAAAAAAGCACATTTGAACTCCATTAAAATCAAGTCTTCAAACAAATACAGAATACTTGCCCTTTCTTATTATTTCTAATTTGTATACTTATATAAGTAAGAATAAAAATGTTGTCATACCCTAATACTAGACTATAATATATATATAAAGTATATTTAATATAAAATGATTGCTTCATGAAACTTGTTCGCATTGGAAGGTTAAGTGTAGGTGTAAAACTGAATCTGCTTCGTACACCTTGTAGCAAATTACCACCTTCAAGTTGCCTGTAGTGTTACCTTCCAACCACAACTCAGCATATTATCAGGTTCAGGTCGTATCACTCACACTGTAATTACAAGCAACTGCATTGGAGAAAGAAATATTCATGCCAGCCAATGAGATGTCATTTTGAGCTGGAGATATGTGGAATTTCTGACTTCAAGCGTCAACAACTGGCATCCTTGGCGGTTATTCTAAATAAAAGTCAAACAGTAACATAAAACATTCAGCCAGTTTACGCGTATCCAATTTCACTTACTAATGAACTTCTGTAACTATATAAACCATTAAAAATACTGCATGGTTAGGTAACCGAAGTACTCCACAAGAGTAACAGTCTCGACAATCTGCACCAGTTCCAAGTTGGATCAGTGGGCTTTTGCGTTGTTGCTGTGTTAGCGCAGCGTGTACATACGTTTTTACATGGATATC